CATCTATCATATGTAGTATGAACAAAAGTAAAACTTAAAAAAGCAAGACTCTAATTTTGCTTTTTTAAATTTTTTAATGACTGTGATAGGCAATAATGCAAGCACATATAAATACAATTAAATGCAGAAATCTTGCATTACAATAGGAGAGATGCAAGCATGTTATATAAAATTTCAAGGAAATGAGAACATAATTGAAGATTCATATAATACTCTCAGTTGATCCTAAAGTATTGGTAGAATTTTGACAGCTTGAAATGAAGTAGAAGAGTGTTTCATGTGAAGGGAATAGCATCTCAGAGATGGGCAAGTATAGGTAATGTCAAGTTGTCAGGTTGCACAAAAGCATGGAGATACTATGAAAAAGATAGAATAAGAATTGTAAAGGTATTTTGAAACCAGGGCATAGAATTAATTTAATTATGTGTGGGCATTAAATTACTTCTATGCCCACACATAGACTTAGTAAGTAGCATGAATTCCTTCATGATGTTTGTGACTATACATGTGTTTGGATAGGTTAATGACATGTAGACTGGAACAGAATAGACAGATTAGTCTGGATTAGAGAGATAAAGACATGCTGTATTGGTAGGAAGGAACCTCAAAAATGAGTCTTTCTATAATCCTAAAGGTTCATAACATCCTAGGGACTCAGTTTGCTTATTAACAAATGATAACTGAATGCAGAATAACAGAAAGGATGTGTGACCACTGGTTATAAGAAGGGACAGAGAAAATGCAACAGATGTGAATGATGCCAAAACCTGAAAAATGGAGGATTATCAGTTTAAAAAAAAAGTGGGCTGAGGAAGGATGGTAGTATATTCTTACAAAGTTACAGTCTAATTCTAAATTATTGATAAATCAATATAAAATTAGAAAACAAGTGACTTGGAGACATTTAACATGGTTCATACAAATAATGAATTTTTAAATACACATTTTTAAATGTGTATTTAAAATATGCATTTGTACTGTGACTGTACTGTGACTAACTGAAGAGTACAGTTGGAAAATATTGTGTGAATGGCAGAAATAGAAAATAGCAAGTTTCGTGAAAGGAAGAAAACACCTTTAGTTATTATAAATTCAGTATTTAAGAAGATTGCAAATTAATGACAAGTTAATATTCTACAGAAAAGGTTATTTATTTTAGCTGTCACTTATTTTTCCATAAAAATGAGTTTGGGAATGAAAAGTACAGCTTTTTAAACATTGTCTTCTTATGACCTTGGTTTTATCTTTTTGTATTTTTCAGATAAATTTTTTCTTTGAAATTCACATCAATATTGTCCTATTGACCAGTTTACTGTTCTCATAGGTATCATTTATGACCACTTCTATGAAGAATGCAACAGCTGATAATTTTCATAGAACACGATTTGATGCTGTTTTTTGTTTTGTTAACAGCATTTTTATATTTATTCTGTGTAACTCTTAGAATATCACTTTGAGGGAATCATGGGTCTTCCTTTTATAGGCCAAGTGTTTGCCTTTGAGATGCTAATTGTAAAGATCACTCAGTTCTTTGAATGACTCAGAGGGCTCCTGACATTCTACCACCTGAAGGATTTACTGTTCTGGATGTTAGCTCTTCCAGGAGGGCACCTCCTTGGATGTCACAGCATCACCAAGTAAAGCTCCTCATATTACTACACAAATTACAATCACTATGCACTTTTGTGGAAAGGTAATTATATATCCCTGGATCACTTTTCCCTAATAGATTCAATCTGAATAATCTCTCACAAAAATACACTTAGACAATGCCATTACTAATACAGTAAGTCTGGAACCAGTGAAAACCAATCATCACTACTTTTCAAATAATTTAATATGTATATTATACCATTGACAGGAATTCCTTGGAGAAACCTGGGTATTTTATAGTGGGGCTTTGCTATTTACCTGATTTGAAACCTAAGCATCTAGGCCTCACCTATAATCCCTTGTTAACTGTTTGTGTTTCCCCGAAGTGTCAGTCTATTAGAGTGATTTAGTAGATGACTAAAAATCAGTTCTAGTGTTTCTTCATATCTTGTGAGCAAAGGCACTGACAGCCATTGTTCTAGACCCATTTCAGTTATGTTTGTATAGTGAACAACCTTGGAAGACAAGTATAGTGTCTCCTCCAGAAGGATAATGGGTATGCTTACTACACATATATAGATTTTGGTTTCTTAAACTCATGATTTCACTCCTGTGGTTCCATCTACTATATGAATAGGTACCATCTGACCCTTTTCATATTAGGCTGTGGTGTTAAGTAAACTGGTACAAGTTCACTATTGCTGTGATAAAAATACTTTTTCTAACCTGGGCATCTTGTCTTTGCCAGCCTCCACAAAACTGGCTAAATAGATTGCAAGTCCAGTAAATGATCAGATTCTATACAATTCTTGACATTGTTGTGAAGACTTCTTTAAGTATTGCAAGACTATATTTGCCCTCAATAGCAGAACTAATATCTGGCTTTAGCTTAAATATCTAAATAGTGTTTTTTGTTAGGATAATTTGATATTTTCAGTAACTGCATCATTGACCGTCCTACACTAAAGACTTGTGCTGATGTTCTAGCTAAGAACAGATTAAGGCCTTAGGGAATTTTAGTAGTGAAAATACTATTGCATCTTCTGAATGTGTAATTGAAAATAATAACAATATTCACCAGCAAAGAAAGTGCAGCAGGAAGTCCAATAAAATGGATTTCATGCATTTCCCCACCTAAATTTTTGCTTAGTCCATTTATAGAATAATCCAGCAGCGCTGATTCTGAAACCTAAGTCTCATCTACTATCTGCTCCCTTTTTGTCCATTTCCATATCATTCCTTCTCCCCAGCGCCCTGCCTCTGTCCCACCCCACTGCCCAGTTAATCTGATAGCAACAGCCTGTTTCTCATCACTTGTCTGACTGTCTTCTCACTCTGCCAGTGGTGCCAAGATCACTGATACAACCCAAATTTCTTTGACATAATGAGTGATTCAAGACTCATCCATCTCAAGAGGTATATATCAGGAACCCCCTTTTAGGCAGATACTCAGGTTATGTTCACTTCCAATTATACTATTCATGCATGCCATTGGGTATTTAGTTATGTATTACTATTGGCATGTTGAAAAATAAAAGGCATTTGTACCAAAACATTCCAGGATATTTTAGATTCCTCTCATTCTGTTAGAAGACAACCCTATAATTATCAACATTGTTACAATATTTGAAAAAAGAGAAATAAGCAGGAAATGACTTTAAACTTGAGGCAATGTAAGGGTTGAGTATAAATGTAAAATTTCTTACTGAAACCTGTTATGTGACAGGGAGAATGACTGAGGGATACTTGTCATTTGTAAATGACAAATTAATATTTCAAAGTTGTATGAAAATTCAGACTACATGAAGCAGGGGAGTCAAGTGTTCATATAATATTTTTAGCAGAATAAATTTATTTAAAGAATGAATGAATAATTTATAAACATTATGGCACTCTGTCATTCAGTAGCCTCTCCTCTATGCTTGTCCCATATGACTGACTATCCCTTCCTGCATTCCTTTCTCCCTCCTTTCTCTTTACTTCCCTCCTTCCTCTCTTCTTTTAAGCAGGCAGTTTTCCCTTTTTTTTGGTAAAGTGGAAAATTTGAAACATTTTCATAGCATAGAGGCATATTAACTAAAGAGTTATTCCTGCTCGCTGTCCTTAATTCAAGTGGGGAGATGTGTTCTACATGAATAGTGCTTGGTGGGTAGATAAGCAACTACAGTGGCTGGCTAGTGAGGGCACCAATTTATTTCAGTGGGTTTGATTTGGTGCCTGGAGAGTCATCCTGAGGGTGTTAGAGAAAGAGAAGAGAGACAGTCAAACTTCCTGTCCCTCAAGCTATCTGGCCTTTACAATCAATTTTGCACCTTGACTTATTTGGTCATTTTCTGTCATTGAATCTAGAGGATCTGATCCTTGTAAATAGAAGGATTGTTGCAGGTCAGCACCATTCCCTCTAGCCTTCTCCACCCTGTTTGCATGTCTGATTATTTACTTGAACTACCTCTTTGTGATTTGAGAAAGACTCCCCCACCTGCTTTTTCATAAAAGCTCAGGGTCACTGAGTCCTGAGATCCCAGGCTCACTAAGCTGAGCCATGACTTTCAACCAGGAGACACAGGCTGTGCTGACCCAGTGGTTGGGGAGCCTCCATTATTGAGACACTATCTGTGACTCCCAAATGGGGAGAATGAAGACATGAAGGAAGAACTCTGGCCTCACAGGCTGCACCCTGCGCAGTGACCCATGCCACTGATGGGCAAAAATGAGGTGAGAGTTGCATGACCCCTGACCTCAACAGGCAGCATTTATTTTTACTTATGATTGCATACCACCTCCTTTAAAAATATTCCATTTGTAGTGTAAGCTCATTTACAGCTTCAAATGATCCCTGTTTTCTTTGCTAAAAATAACTTAAAATAGCTTTCAGACTATTTTGAATGGCATGGCCTCACCTCTGACTTATTAACTCTGTGATCTTGAATAAGTCAAGCAGTCACTTTGACCTTCAGTTGCTCCCTTAAATTTGGATAAAAATAGCAACTTCTGCTTACAAGGATCAGATCTTCTAGATTCAATGAGAGAGAATACCTGACTGTCTTCAAAAAACTCACCACAAAGGCAGGAGAGTAGAAACCTATCACCTGCCTAAATTTCATTCTGACTCCAAGTATTGCCAATCTAATTTCACCTACACTTCTGTCCATTCCTGATGCCCCACTACTACCATCGGCTCAATTCCTCTCCTAATCAAAATGTTCATCCCTAATTGGTCCAAGCTGACTATTTTTGACTAGAAAGTGATCCTCATCTAAAATGCAAACATAATTTACCTCTCTAAAATCCTTCCAGTGTTCAATTTCCTTAAGATAAAAGAGTTTCTTAATGACTCTAAGGCTACCACCCTCTACAGTTTCATCCAAATCCTACCTACACTGCTGAGGGGAGCAGCGGGCAGCAGGAGAGGTCTGCGTGCCATGTGGGACCCTCCTCCGGTGGCCGGGGAGCAGCCGGGGATCAAACAGGCGCCGCAGAGGCTTCAGGCAGCTTCACAACCCAGTGCTCAACCACTGTGCCACTGGGGAGGCCACAGAGGCTATTTTTATCAGCCCAAGAACAGACAGGTTTGGTCCAGGTAGAAGGATGAGCACTGGCAAATCTGAGGAAACATAATATGAGTGAGTGTAGTTTAGAGATCAGTAAAATCTAGTTACTCCGCTGTGATTGGAGGATACAGATGAAGGAATGAAGAGTAAGAAAAGGAGACTGGAGTCCAGATTACAGGAGACTTAGATATTATTAGTAAAGAGTACTAAACAGTGTAGTTTCAGATATATTTAGAAAAATGTGGGGAATTAGGAGGGATGCCTAAAAAAATGACATAGGAACACTAATGTAGATGACTAAATATATTAAGGCTGCTGATAACTGTAAACACCAAACTGTGCATCATCATCATTATCAAGCAGTGCTATGTCAATAGTCCTTTGGGTTTAGAGCTTGAGTTATAGGCAGCTTCTTGTACTTAAAAGAAACTACCTCGCAACTAGTCCAGATGGATATTACCTATCCCGCTTTAAGATCCTCTAGGGATGAACCACCCCAACAAACCTGAGAAAGCCCCCTTTCATAGCAACTAAGCATCCTTCCAGATGCTTTATCCATGGCATCATCCCCTCGATATATTAAAGACTCCATTTGGACAATTTTTAAAAGCACTTGTGACATTCTGATAGAATAATGATTTTTAGAGTTCTTTAAAATTCAAAGGCAAGGTAAAAGAAGTCTTCTGTTTGATTGCAAAAGCTATCAAGATACAAAAAGAGAATGGCTTGTCCTAGCATTACAATATCTGTTTTCACTGGAAACCTGAGCAGACTTTAATCATGTACACTTCAGCCAGGGCCAGAAGCTCAGAAACCTGCAAGTATTATGAATGTTCTCACACTAACACAAAACCTTTGCAGAAATTTCTATAGGTACACAGACAGATTTTCTCTCTCTCTCTGTCACACAAACACATTTCATCTTCATTTTCTTTCACTGTATACAGGATAAATCTTTCAATTAAAGTGCCATTCTTTATGTTAAAAATGTTTCATGCATTAAAAAGATACTAAGTTGTAATTGATTAGTTCAGTCAATACTTATAAACTGCAGATTTAGGAGGAACAATTGAAAAATAACAACTTAAAGGGAGGAGAGAGCAGTGGTTTTGTTCTTTCTGTGAGGTTACAGAGGCAATATAGAGAAATGAGGAGCCCCAGCGGAAAACTGCACCTACTATTGCGTCTTTTAGAAAGATCACTCACAGACCTTTTTCAAGTGTATTTAATTTGCTGTGCTATCATCAGAGCATGGAGCACATTTTCATCTAAAATAATTTTCAAAAGATTTTAAATTTAGGAAAAAATCCCTTTGCACTTAAAAATATTCTTCTTTATCTGTCACATTCATGCTTAAATGGCTATCCAGATTGACATTACCTTTATTGAGAATAATAAGTCCCAATAGCACTACTAATACCCAGTCTACTATGAGTATGTTGCTCTTAATTTGAAGGAAGATTATTTCATTTTTATCTGTTCTAGAACACTAGAGGAAAGACTCAAGCATTGTCACATTTCATTTTCAGTTTAACCTGTATTCATCTTAGGTTAACTGGTTACCACTAGTCACTTTCATCTAATGTTTCTATATTTTTTCTTATACTGTATTGTCTACTTTTATTTCAGAATTAATCATTTGTGCCTATTTGATTTTTGGGGCTCATAGGTTCCTAACAAATAATCAAATTGTATTTGCATTATCCAGTTTACACTCCTTTCTCCTTTTACATGTACAGCTTGCTGCCCTTTCTTGTGTACTGGTCGTGAATATCTCCTTGACTTATTTATATCTATACTTGATATTTTGACTTAGTTTTTTTAATCAAGATTTTTTTACTACACTGAGTTAGAAGACAGAATAGTGGATAGCACCCTCCTTTTATGTCTGTTCTGAGCATTTTTATCTTAGTTATAAAGAATATGGTTATTGCTTATGCAACTTAATATGGTTTTCTGCTACAATTTTCAAACTTCTATTTGTAAAAAGATGTATTATTCACTAAGTTTAATGTAAGCAGAATACTACATTATCTTGCAAGAGGATAAAGGTGCTATTCATACTTCTCCTAAATATTTGAAAGATTTAAGCTGTGGAATATCATGAGAAGCATTAATAAGGAATATGGCAAGGAAAGTCTAATAATAGTCAATCATTAAAAACAGCAAGAAAGGGAAATAAAATATTTAGGCCTCAATTTCATAAAGGATATGGTATTTCTAAATTTTAGTTGATGTTCACTGATTAAGTACTGACACATTTTACAACATTTAAGGTACCTTTTTACACTGACATCCAGTACTTAAATTCTGTGGAAAATCTGTTTTAGAACTAATTTCCCTGGACATGAGCTGTTTATTACCTCACCTGCCAATGTTTGCTTTCACATTTTAAAGATTTAAATTTGTGAAAGCCTACATACAGAACTGGTACTACTAACGTAATGAATTCCCTATAATATTTTGGAGTCTAGCAGGAGATGTTGGAAATAGTATTTGCGTTTGTTGTATATGTGTGTGTTTTGGTTCAAATGTTCAGAATATGAGCTACATTGATTTTTAATGGATACAATATTTGGAATTACTTCTATGGCAATTTTCGCATTGTCCTGTAAATTGCTTTTTTCCCTTTATTTAGTAGGAAGGCTTCTTGTTTCATTAACTCAGTCCTCTTCACTTCTCTCAATTTCTTATTCACTTTTCTCTGTGATGGGAATGGATGCGGGAGACAGGAGCTAGAATTTTTTATTGCCACCCAAGGCTTGAGTTAGAAAGAAACACCAGAATGACTTTTCTCTATTCTTCATTTATCCTACTCAGAGAATAACAAAATAAAATCTTAGTAAGTACTTACCTTGCACTAAACAGATCAATCTTTTTCCATTAGATTTGTCATATGAGACATGAACTCAACTATAATTGATTTTTAAGTCATGTGGCACAACAGCCACTATAGTATTTTTCCTATGATAGTCTCAATCAATAGGCCTAGCAGCTTAACAAAAATAATTACATCAACATATCTGCTTTCCTGACACCATTTTGTTCTTAGGTGTTAGAAACAGTCTGGTATTAGAAGAAATCCAATAAGTTTGAAGCAAGAAGGCTGAGTCTGGGTAACTAAGTGCTTGCATCTCCTGGACTCCAGTGAAACTGATTCCCTCATTTTCTGAATCTTTTCACAGCTCACAGCACAGTCCATCAGTCTTACAAGCAGTTCTAATAGTTCCTGGATTTGGAGTTTGATGCAGGCTTTGTATGAGCAGATGCTTATATAAAAGCTAAAATAGGTGGGTATTAAAAGGATTAAGTGATTCAGTGGAGTATCTCAGCCAGCCATAATTCAAGACACAATAGTTCAAATCTTTCATTGCTGTTTTCTTTGATAAAATGTAGGTTTTAACCTTTTGGGAAGTCTTTTTCTACAGTGTCAGCAGCAACTCCAGACCTGTCAACTCAACAATACTTTACAACTAATACCTTTCACAATGTCTGAGGTAGAGAAAGGAATTGCAATAATACTGCCTAGGATTCTGTGAGATTGGAAATGTAGTGGCATACATTGGCTAGTTACTTTGTGTATGGAAATAGATGAGTTGGCAATGACATGAGGGGGAAAAAATACCTGCAGTAAAATATCAAATCTCTGGGAAGAATACAGGTATGCTATCAGGGGATGTCAAAGACCAATACATGCCTCGGCTGAATTGAAATAAGTACCAAAAAGACATAGTCTTTGGAAATTCTGTAGATAAACAATAATATTTGTTTGCATCAAAGGAGCAAATATTACTGTAGTCACTAAAGCTTGAGAATCTATTTTTTTTCATATTTCTGTTTATACTGGTTATTCACTTTTAAATGTTTATTTCTCCTATTACTTCACAATGTGTGAATATCAATTCTCATCAATTTGACCTTGTTTCCTATGCAAACCTTCCAACAGGATATTTCTTTGGCTCATATCAAAACAATATTATTGACTAAATGAAGGATATTTTCCACAAAACCGTGTTAGCTTTAGAATTCCTTCATCACTGATATCTAACCATGGACTGCTACTCTTTCAAGAGGCATTCATTGAGCGCCTACTATGTTCCAGTGATTGCATCAGTTAAGTGAGCAAACAGTAGAGATTCTTCCTAGAAAAAATATTTAGAATGGAAAAATAAACCAAAAAGTTGACGCGAGGAATGATTTGAAGATAGGCAAATGAACGTGCTAGTTCTAATGATGAGAAAGAGGAAGCAAATTGGAGAAAGCAATTTAGCCATTTAAATGGGAGTTGTGATTGGCCCAATATGCTGAACTACTTGTCAGGAGAGTAGCTAGGGTATGTTATATGATCTGTAAATTTGCAGAAAGCATTCACTCTCAAATTATATATCCTGTATAATGCCTGTATTTCAAGGTTGTGTAAATAAATGTGGTTAAAATTTTTTTTTAAAAAGTAAATTTATCTAGAAGAATAACAGATTAATAATGATATTTTTAGTCCCTTAGATTATTTTGTGATTATTTAATTACAGTGAACTGAATTGAGTACATTTCTTCCCATTAAAAAATGTTAACTATAGTATCACTTCAGGGATGTTACATATTGAGTTCACTGTGAGCAATTTAGGGCAGAAAGCTATGCAAAAATGAGTAGATATGACCCCATAGAGAAACTTTTCTTGCTTTCATAGTTGCAATCTCACTACTCAAGGTTATGCTAACAAAATTGTGAATATGTTTCCAGGAATGGGATTAATTTTAGATAATGTATTCTCTTCAGAAAAACAATTCTAGAAAGGGAGGGAGGTAGATAAATAGACAGATACATTTCTCTCCCATAATTAGCAGTGATATTCTCATTTACCTGTAAAGAATAGGTTACAGTGGATACAGAACTACAAGAAGACAGTAAATAAATGAAGGGATATTTTTCCTAATACTTCATAATAATGGATGTCCTTTTAGTTGTGGTCAGCTTTCTTTCCTACTGTTCCTCTCCTTATTTGCTGTCTCATCACCTTCTCCTCTCTCTTCATCCTCTTGGTTTTCTACACTG